TTAAGACCCATATTTGTGTAGCTTTTTTGAAGTACCAAACCAAAAAATGATTTCATAGTCAGTGCTTAAAAAATACACACCCTTTTTTGCATTCATAAAGATAGTTAATTTACATACAAGCGGTCTACAGACATTAAAAGTAATAACTTTGTTTTAAATGTAATGTAGTAAAACACAGCCACATAACTGGAGCACCATGAATCACAGTTGCATGTGGCCTGTCAGTCACAATGTGGAAATAATGTCAAGTCACGTAAACCTGCTAGCAATATATTGATAAACGTACCTGTACCACAAGTAGTGCAAGACTAGACGGAATGGCCCTGTAAGAAATAAATCACAGTTAGTAAGCATAACAATGGCAACCCTGTAGTAATGACATATTTTATGGAACAGCTGTCTCTTGTCACATTCTATTTAAAGATTAGGCACTGTAGACAATGATATGACGTGAAAATCTGTCTTTTTACCCCAATTAATGCAAAGGATGTCATTACAATCATTTCAAACATAGCACTTTCCAGGTCTGATGAACATGATTCTGGCACCTCCTACAGTAAGATTAGGGAAAATGTGTTTCCTTGGTTATAAAGCTAGGAAGGAAACTTGCATATCTTACTTATTTAGATACCTTGCATACTGATGGGCATCAATTTGAGAGAAAAGACACATTTGAAAAAAATAATAGTCAAGGGCCAGGTGCTGATTATATATTTTGTGATTAAGTAAAGTGCCCCTTTCGCTGTGCAGAGTATCACAATTAGGCAACAAAAATAGAAAAGCTTACCTGTCACTGCTTTGGCAATAACTGATGTGTTGTGCTCCTTGTTGCCCCGCAACTGCAAATGTTAGAAAGTGACATGTGAGTAGTAGTCAGTAGCATCGGGGTCATCATTTATTATGTGTTAACTTTAATGAACGTGTGATAGCGCCAAAGTTAGGCTAGCACCCACATACTTGTTAGGCTATGGCTCGCTTAATGGCGCGGAATATCAATGTTACCGAATGAATGGAACTTAACTGCTGATTGCAAAAGTAATCATGATGAAAAATGAAAGCTACACTATAGGTCAATGTGCAAGGAGAATATGAGGATTTGGCTAGCAATGTGTTGTGCTACGTGGCTTTGAGCGGCTGAACCCATGCAACTGATTAAGAGTTGACTCTCGGAGGGTGATCTTTACAGATAAATGTTCGACAAAATAACCACGTACCTAACTAAAAAACGGGAATAAAGAAGTCTGACCAACCTGAGTGTCTGTCTCTGCCGGCCATTCATTAATAACAAGTAAATCGTACAAAATGTTTTCATCTTCGCCTTCTATCAGGCTTTCCTCAGCCATGTTTACTTGAACAGCCTGTCAAAAAAGTCTACGGGGAGCAGCACTGGACAACATTTATCAGGGAACCGCGTTTGGAAAATGTAGCTTACAGCCCAAGTTAAGTATTCTCATGGCTTGATAATAACTTAAATGCTATGATGTTTAAACACAGACATATATGCTGTCGTAGCCCTCCTTGTATATTTGCAATTATATATTAACCGTATTTTACGAACTCACCAACCGGAACCAATGATACAAGGCTTATTTGCAGGACCACTAAAGGAGTTGCACCGAGCCGAACACGTTAACATCCGTATAAGTTACATTCGTAGCAGCAATAATGGCAGCGTTTTCGGGTAAGAATATTTATCAATCTAACCGTGTTCATGTTGCATGAATTCAACATTACTTTAATTTTAAAAACCACGTGAGTGCAGTGAAACCTTAAATATGTATTTTGTTCAACAGAAATGGGTGTTATGCTTGAAATAGCGCAGGCTGTGGAAGAGTTAGACTGGCTGTAAGTCATTCAGGCTTACTTGGCCAAATCTACGTCTGTTTTGTGATATCTGTGTGCACATTGTTTTGACCTGTTAGACATTTCTGCAAGCTTAACAGTTGACACTAAACTGATTTATTGCAATCATTGCGTTTCAGGCTACCTACTGACATCCAGGCAGAGTCTATATTCCACTTATTCTTGGTGGAGGAGATGTGCTTATGGTAGGCCTCCCTCTTTATTTCTTATTCAAAATTTGAACACTCCAAGTTTCTGTCTCATTCTCCATTTTCATTCCCTTTTTCAGGCAACATAAACTGGTAGTGGTAAAACAGGGGTAAGTACTTGACAGTCACTCAGATTATAATACAACTAACATATACAGTTTGCATTTAAACATCAGCCCAAGTTGGAAACATAAAAAATTGTATGTGTAATCATTTCTAATCCACAGGCCTTCAGTATGCCAGTGATCTAGGTTGTGTATGAGACCCTGAAGGATGAGCAGGAGGGCAAGACTGGAGGAACTAGTGAGACCCCCCTAATATGAATTATGTTTTTGTATGCAGTCTGTATGTCTAACATGCCTGCTAAAAACTGTTCATAACATTGCACAGAACTTTCTAGACTTAAAGATCTCAAAGGACCAGTTTCATATTGACGATCCATTATATTACAAAGTATGAAAGTGGTGTTCTGTGCCGTGCAGATATCTAACCTGCTTGTTTCTTTGTTTTGACTCAGTTTTCAACAACTGGCAGATGAATCCTTATGACCGCAGCCCAGCCTTTGGTAAGCAGAGAAAAAATAGCATGTAATATCACATTCACTTAAGGACATTCTAACCTAAAGCTCTGCTCTTTTTGCTTTTTACTTGTACAGCAATTGGTCCAGATGGACGGTGCCAGAGCAGGGAGTTCAAAGAGTGGCATGGCTGTCGCTCAACAAAAGGGGTTACCAAAGGTACAACATGACAACATTCACATTTCACAGGGGAACTAACCATTTCTTCAATTGTCTTACAAAAATGAACAAGCATTTATTTCTTTGCAACTGTTCCGGTTCTTATTTATGTCTTTATTTGTCCAGGGAAGTACTACTATGAGGTGACCTGCCATGTCGGCAGGCCACATCATGTAGACAGCCAGTCACCCTGTGTGAGGCAGGCCACTTAACAGGCCAGGCCATCGGGAAACCCCCCGGTCCTCCCGATGGCCAGCCCGGGCCTGGGTACAGGAGGCGTAGAGCGAGGGATCATTGTCCACAAGTTAATTGATCACAGATGGAGTCGTGGTCGCGGACGGATACAAAAAAAAAGAAATACCTAAATGGGTCGCAAAATATACTTGGGCGGGCCGTTAATATACCTGGGCGGCCCGCCCAAGTAAAGTCTATGTGTGGGAAACCCTGGTGCGGTCCTAGTAGTTATCATTCATATTATTATCATTAACTAATTGGGGCACTATAGCAATGTTTCTCATGTTTCTTGTCTTCTTCTCTTCAGGTAATGACCTGGGTGTGGCTTTTGAGATCCCTCAACAATTGAAGAGTCAGCCCTTCTTTGCCTCCTGCGTTCTAAAGGTATCACATCAAAGTAATGTTGGATTAAAAAAACAGGTGCCAGTTTTACACCATACAAATGGCTCTTTTTCTTATCTGTGTTCAAGAATGCAGAGCTGAAGTTCAACTTTGGAGGAGAAGACTTTAAAAATGCCCCCAAGAGTGGGTTTGTTGCCATGGACCAACAATGTCATTCAATCTGCGAAATACGTGGATAACCCCAAACTCAGGTATGACTTTAGTGAGGTATTAACAACACTGGATTTCACAAACATCGGAAAACCATTTCCTGTGTAGTACTTATGCTGAGCCATATCTACAAATATACGTTCTGCACATTTAACAGTGTTATACTTTTTATATTTCCCTGCATTATCTTTTGTAGATGACATTTTTGTTTTATACCAGCAGATGGAGCCAGTGATCAATTTTAAATGTTGATATCAGTAATGCAGTAATTTTTTGATGTGGCTTACTTACAGGAACCTGTTGGTGATTGGTGGTGTGCGACATGTACCGTCTCCAAACAAACTGAGTTTACACTTGAAGTATTTTTAACTAACAGATATGTTTTGCCTTGTTTGCCTCTTCTGTTTCAGATTTTTTGTGTCAAGGTTGACATTGTCGTGGGAACACCCAGAAGACTGTACGACTTCATATCCACCGGGAAGCTCAGTCTGTCCCAAGTCCGCTTTCTCGTCCTGGATGAGTGTGTATGTACAACACATCTTGAGTATTTCGCTTTTTAAAATCAGAAGCATTCATTTTTGCATCCATCAAAGTACAGTTCATGTTTAATCAGTGATTTTCATAGCATAACCATCCCTGAAGTCACTCATCATTTTTCTGTGTTCCCTGTATCCCTCAGGATGGCCTTCTGTCCGCAGGCTATACAGAGTTTATCAACAAGATTCATAACCAAATCCCTCAGGTCACCTCTGATGGCAAGAGACTGCAGGTAACACTTCAGATAAATCACATATGTGACAACAAATCAGTTGTATCCTTTTTCAGACCATTTTAAACGGTAAATTAAGCACAAAACAACACACTTAGATGACTGTCAAAGCAATTTTGGGGTATTTTCTGAAAACGTTTTTATATGTGAGGTGCAGATGAATTAAAAGAATATGTTAACGATGCTTGTTTGTGCTCACCAGCTGTGGTCAGAAGCCATCAAGATACTAAAGGGCGAGTACACAGTGAGGGCCATCAAAGAGCACAAGATGGACCAGGCCATAATCTTCTGTCGCACCAAGATCGACTGCGACAACATGGAACAGTACTTCATTCAGCAAGGAGGAGGTATGAGTACTACTGAGAATTTCAGCTATCACTAGACATACACACACATAAAGTAATAAGGAATTAATTGATGTTTGACTTATTTTCTATGAAAAAAAATCAGAATAAACACTCAGTTTTGGTGTCTTTTCTTTAGGTCCGGACAGTAAAAGCCACCAGTTGTCCTGCGTTTGTCTCCATGGTGATCGTAAACCCAATGAGAGGAAGACTAACTTGGAGCGTTTCAAGGTAAAACAACAAGAACTTAATGATACCTTTTTTATGGATGACAACCAGTCTATTTATGTTGTAAGATCTTCTTGTGTTCACAGAAAAAATAAGTGAGGTTGTTGATCTGCACAGATGTAGCTGCCAGAGGAATTGACGTCCACGGAGTTCCGTATGGTAAATATTTCAGATCTTCAAAATAAAACGGACCAGCGGTCATCACACAATCATAAATGTTTTTATATAAGACCGCTCTCTTCATCTTTCTCCAGTGATTAACGTCACCCTGCCAGATGAGAAGCAGAATTACGTCCATTGTATCGGCTGAGTCGGAAGAGCCGAGAGGTAAGCGCTGACAACCTGAGACTAACTGAGTTTGTGTATTTTGGCTGAAGAGGAGTTACAATTATTATTTTCCTCTGTCACCATATTAGTTTTGTTTGTAAATTCACACAATATACCTTTTAAAATGTCTCATTACACTGATTTAACTGAAAATAATTTCTTTTGATTTTAACTTGCAGAATGGGACTGGCCATTTCCTTGGTTGCTATGGAAAAGGAGAAGGTAGCAGAGATACAGAAATATGCTAATTCATTTTAATTATACATCACTTTTTAAAAGAAGTTCAAATTAAATGTTTTCTTCATATGTGCAGGTGTGGTACCACGTTTGTGCGAACAGAGGCAGAGGCTGCTACAACACGCGACTGAAGGAGGACGGAGGTTGCACCATCTGGTACAAAGAGAAAGAGGTGAACAAAGATGCAGAAACAAACTAAATCAAGCTAGGAAAATCTGTAATTTGATATACAACTGATTCAGCAGAGGGCTTTTTAAGTGATTTGATAGGAAGCAGATGCAAACATTCAAAGTAAAACTCCAATGAGCAGAAAGGTTTTGCTAATTTGGAAGCATTGAAAGCTTGAGCACACACACTTTTGACCCTTATGACATAATTCCACACTAACCATTGTGTATTCTCTATTCTACTTGTGTCTTTTATTCCCTTTCCTCTCTCCACAGCTCCTGTCAGATATTGAGGAGCATCTGAAGTGCACCGTCACACAGTGCGAGCCAGACATCAAAGTACCTTTGGATGACTTTGATGGAAAGGTCACCTATGGTCAGCGTATGGCTTTGGGACGTATGTTTTAAACTGCTTACAAATTGGCAGTTTTTGTTATCATAATCATTGCATAGATTTGCTGGTAACTTTGCTAAAGATACATCCACTGCAGTTGTGTTGAGCATGACTAACAAACCGGTTGCCCTTGTCTAGGTGGTAACTACAAGGGTCACGTGGATGCTCTGGCACCAACGGTCCTGGAACTGGCTAACCTCGAGAGGGAAGCCCAATCTTCCTTCCTCCACCTGGGATACATGCCAAACCAGGGGTGTTTCTCAATGTCGAGGACGCTTCCTTGGTAGCACCTGTCTTCCGAGTCACTTCCTTCAGAAGCTAGGCAAGAATCCTTCCTGGCATTCGGAAAACGAAGAGTGGAACAGGCGAGCAAGTGTGCAGGTGTGCGTCATATGAGAGGCACCGCCTTACATTGTGGGGATTTTAAGACCGCGGAGGATACACATGGGCAGCCTCGAAATTTCTCGCTACAAAGGACGCCGGGCTCGGTAGAATTCCAACGAGCCTGCCTGGACATTGGAACAGTCCTTCGGCGGGACTCGATGACGTAGCATCCTTGAAATAGTGGCTCTGGAGCATCCTTCCTTGACATTGAGAAACACCACAGCTTTTCCGAGCCTTCTGAACACGCCCCAACTAGCACTAAAACTGTACAGATTAAAGAAATGCTCCAACAGGAAACAGAATATTTATGATACAACGCAGTAGTGTGCAGTTATTTCTCAAGTTTTTTTCTCACCCAGAATTATGAACATAACATAATAAAAATAAAAAAAATTCTACTATTTCACTCGGTATGCCAAACTTGTCTCTGGCATCTGATACATACACTAATGAAAAATACTTTCTTGGATTGTGTTTTATTTTCTGATTGATGTGGTTGAATTAAATATTTTTTCTTTGGAGTAATTGGCTAGAAAGTCAATGTATTGAAGTGTCTGGGTGTATTTTTTGTTAAATAAACTAATAGCCTGCTCAGTTTGAGTTCAAAAGTAGGCAAGTATCTCCAACAATTATGAATGTCTCCTGTTTATTTCATTTATTGAGTCTGTTAATAATTTCTGATCAATTCATGAGAATAAATAATCTTCACAGAGCAATGTTTATTTTCTGTCTGTTACTGGATTGTTTTACAGCTTTGAGTCAGGCCTCCTCCACAAAGATTGAACAGGCATTTTTAAAACCAAGCACCGTTTCTTGGCTCACCAATGAGCTCACCACTCAGCAGCCATATTAGGAAGTAGAAAACAAAAGAATAAAGAAAGATGTAGAGTTAGATCATAGTAAGCTACTTCTACAATATGAGGTTCTGACCTTTGCTGGTAGAACATTTGAGGATCTGGACCTCTTTGAATTATAATTGAATACTCTTGAATTATTGTTTAAATAATTTTAGATTGTGACATTTAAAAGGGCAGTAGTATTACCACAGAAAATGAGTTACTTAAACTTACATAGAAATGTCATGATTTAAAGCATATCAAGTGCTGCAAGATCAAACAATGTGTGGGAAAACACAGAAATAACGAATGTATTACATTGATTGTTAATAAGTAATCATATAATTGTGCACATTGACAAATCCTGTTTTGATCGCTGATGGTGACACTTTTATTTTGAAATCTCCGCTCAGATCTCTGTTCTTCGCTTCCTGTGAAAGCTGTGCATCGACTGTTATACATGTAAGAGATTTTTTGGCTGGATTTCATATAAGAAGACATCTTTTGGGACAACGTACGTGATGTTAACAAGGAAGGATAAAGTCTCCGAGAGTGTTCAGCCTACCTTTGGTACGTGTATAACCATTTGTTTCGCTGTTATTCGATCATGGCGGTTCGGTTGTGATTAACGTCGTCACAATGAAAGCATGGCAGCTGGAACCTTCTTTCTCTAGTAAGTCTGCCGTGTGGGGTGGGCCACACTTTGGTTGAGGTTTTATCGTGTATGCATAGCGGTGGGAACATGTTTCAAATGGGGGGTGCTGTGGGGATGACACCAGGGCCGGTTCTGACCAATATGCTGCCCTAGGCAAGATTTTAGCTGGCGTCCCCCCCCCCCCCCCCCCCCCCCGAAAAACGTACAGTAGAAAAGATAAAGATCGATAGAGTATCCAAGGAATACACAATAGAATATACAAAGAATAAATGAAAAACCATTTTTGAAATTTTTTTATCCTCTGGAGCAGAGAGAGGAGCTGTGGATTATTGTTATTGTTATCGTACAGTAAAAATTATTTGTACATTAAAGTAATAAAGTACAGTGTTACACTGTGCTTTATTACTTTTATTCAAACTGTATTCCCTTCTTATCATGTAGCCTACACTTCTTCCTTTCATTGATACATTTAAATCACCTGACTACAGCATATAATGGCGCGTTTCCACTACAGCGCGGAGCACGGTTTAAGAGGGCTGTGACGTCAGCGGCCCGTCTTTGGTTGCGTTTCCACTTGGCCTAGTACCGGCCGGCGGGTCCTAATTCACAGTTTTTCTGGCCTCATAAAATCGCGGGTCTAGGGCCAGAGACAACGAGGCTGAGTATGCTAAACTAGAGAGAGCATCGCTGCCAAGGGGGCTACAACTACAACAAGATGGACATATTTGACCGTGATTTAATTGTAATACACGTTTCAAAATGATGCCGAAGTAACAACATACTGATACCGGTTAGTAAAAACCATGAATTAATGCTTTGTCAAGTCTGCATGTCAGCCACAGCTTGTCACAACATTTTTTACTGATAGTGTATTTAACAAACTTAAACTAGCTTTATTAAATGTCAGGTCTTTGGCAGGAAAAACATTTTTAATCAATGATTTTATCACTGAGCACAATCTCGATTTTATGTTTTTAACGGAAACTTGGATTGAACAAAATAACAGTGCAGCTGTTCTTATCGAATCAACCCCTCCCAACTTTAGTTTTATGAGTCAGGAAAGAATGCATAAGAAAGGGGGTGGAGTTGCTATTTTGTTCAATGATTCCATTCAATGCAGGAAGACATCTTATGGGGACTTTGCTTCTTTTGAATATGTGGCCCTTCAGCTGAAATGCTCCTCTCGAGCTCTGTTCCTAAATATCTATAGACCACCCAAATACTGTGCAAGCTTTTTTGATGATTTTACTGAACTGCTGTCTATAGTGTGTATTGACTTTGACCGTTTAGTCATTGTTGGTGATTTTAACATCCATGTTGACAACCCCCAGGACAGAGGGGCTAAAGAACTGTTTTGTGTTCTTGATAACTATGGACTGACTCAGCATGTGGCGGAGCCCACGCACAATAAGGGGCACACTCTGGACTTAATTATCTCAAAGGGTCTGAATATCTCAAAAGTTGTGGTGACTGATGTTGCACTCTCTGATCATTCCTGTGTTTTCTTTGAGAGCTCTATTTCTGTTCACAAAAATGTTCAGAAAGAGGTAACCACAAAGCGATATTTAACAGAAAATAATAGGGAAATGTTTACTCATAATTTCTCATCCACACTTGCCCCTGCTAACATCTCAGTAAATGAGCTAGTAGATCATTGTAATTCAAAAATTAAAAATGTTATAGATACCATTGCTCCAACTAAGGTAAAGGAAGTGATTAGCAAGAAAATATCTCCATGGAGAAAGGCCATGACCGTGAGAACAGAAAAAAGAGAGTGTCGAAAAGCTGAACGTAGGTGGCGAAAAACAAATCTCCAGGTTCACTTTGAAATCTATAAAGAGAGACTTGGCCTTTATAATTTGGAATTGAAAAACGCACGACAGTCTTTCTTCTCTGACATCATTACCAAAAACAAAAACAACGCACGTGCCTTGTTTGCTACCGTCGACAGACTAACTAACCCCCCAGTGTCAGTAGCCTCTGAATTTCTATCCACCAGGGCGTGCAATGATTTTGCCTCCTTCTTCACTGACAAAATTCAGAAAATTAGACAAGCAGTCAGTGCCTCTACATCAGGTACAGCAAATGTTTTGTCCCTATGTCCACCTAATATCAATTCAAACACCATGACACAATTCCATCAGATTAATGGTAAAAACTTAGAGGACATTATTCAACTTCTGAAATCCTCCTCCTGCTGCCTTGATATTATTCCAACAGGATTTTTCAAAGATGTTTTTCCTTGCATGGCCTCAGATCTACTTCATATAGTAAACACATCTCTTCACTCAGGTATTTTTCCAGAGGCCCTGAAAACTGCAGTCATTAAACCGCTCTTAAAAAAGAATAATCTAGATACCTCAGTAATGAACAATTACAGGCCAATATCAAACCTGCCATTTCTAGGTAAAATCATTGAAAAAGTTGTATTTCAACAGTTGAGTAACTTCTTGCATTTAAATAACTGTTTGGATGTGTTCCAGTCAGGATTTCGTCCAAACCACAGCACTGAGACTGCTCTTGTAAAGGTCTTCAATGACATCCACTTAAACACAGACAGTGGCAGAACTTCAGTGTTAGTATTATTAGATCTCAGTGCTGCGTTTGACACTGTTGACCACAACATATTACTAGACCGACTAGAAAACTGGGTGGGACTTTCGGCAACAGTTCTAAATTGGTTTGAGTCCTACTTAAAGGACAGAAAAAACTTTGTTTCTATAGGTAAATACACATCTGAGTTGACAAATATGACATGTGGGGTACCTCAAGGCTCCATCTTGGGGCCTCTTCTCTTTAACATCTACATGCTACCACTGGCTCAGATAATGAAAAACAACAACAAAATAAGTTACCATAGCTATGCGGATGACACACAAATTTACGTAACATTTTCACCAGGAGATTATGCTCCAATTCAAACACTGAGTAAGAGCATTGAACAAATCAATGACTGGATGTGTCAGAACTTTCTCCAATTAAACAAAGATAAAACTGAGGTAATGGTTTTTGGAGCCAAGGCAGAACGTATAAAAGTTAGCGCTGAGCTTCAGTCTGCAATGTTCAAAACAACAGATAAAGCCAGAAATCTAGGTGTAGTCATGGACTCTGACCTGAGTTTCAACAGTCACATTAAAACAGTGACTAAATCAGCCTACTATCACCTAAAGAACATATCTAGGATTAAAGGACTAATGTCACAGCAGGATTTGGAAAAACTTGTCCATGCTTTTATCTTCAGTAGACTCGACTACTGCAATGGTGTCTTTACAGGCCTCACTAAAAAAACTATTAGAAAGCTGCAGCTAATTCAGAACGCCGCTGCTCGAGTCCTCACTAACACTAAGAAAGTGGATCACATCACTCCTGTTCTGAAGTCCTTACACTGGCTTCCTGTGTGTCAAAGAATAGATTTCAAAATATTGTTGCTGGTTTATAAAGCTTTGAATGGTTTAGGCCCAAAATACATGTCTGACCTACTGCTAAATTATGAACCAAGGTTCAAGGTTCAAGGTTCCAGAACTCTCAGGTCTTCAGGGACTGGTCAGCTTTCTGTCCCCAGAGTCAGAACTAAACATGGTAAAGCAGCATTCAGTTATTATGCTCCAAATATCTGGAACAAACTCCCAGAAACCTGCAGGTCCGCTGCAACTCTTACTACTTTTAAATCCAGGCTGAAGACTTTTCTTTTTGCCGCTGCTTTTAATTGAACTATTCACATCTTAAACTGCACTGTAACTTTTAACTTTTATCCATGTATTTTTTCTTTTAATGTTTATTTTATTATCTTTTCTTTTTAATGACTGATTTTAAATGCCATTTTTAAAATGTCTTCCATTTTTGTAAAGCACTTTGAATTACCTTGTGTTGAAAGGTGCTATATAAATAAACTTGCCTTGCCTTGCAGACAGACGGCAGGCGAAAAACCTTTTAAAATGCGTGTTTTCTAAATGGAGATTGGCTAAGCTAACGCAGTATATGCTCCGACCGTCCACACTCACAACAACGGCCTATACAGACATAAATAAAGCAGCGACTGTATTCACCATGACACAGGCAGTCTGTGGTTTGTACTTGTTTAACTTTTGTCTAGTTTCTGAACATATATGAGGAGCTGTGAGCTCTGAGTGCTAACAGCTAACGGCTGTGTTGTTTTTCTGGGGTTCTCATTGAAGATCACGTCACGGCTCCGCCTACACTGCGTTACTATAGATACTACCCCAGTTCCT